TTCCTGCTGTTGTAGATGTCTTCTTCCCTGCACTCGAGGAACTCCAGTTATCAGGCGAGTATCGGCCACTGTGGGATACCTCGGCCTCTCGGATGCCAGACTTCTTTTGCAGGCTGGATGGTCCGACATCTTCTGCCAATGGTGGTTGTCTATTCCTGTGGTTAAGTAAGATAATCACTCCGAGTATTATGAGTATTGCCAGGGCTGCAACCACTGCAGCTATAATGAGAGGCACCTTTGACGAGGCTTTCTTGGATTCTTCCTCGGGTTCTGGAGGGAGATCGGGAGATGGGCACTCAGTATCCAACGGTTTTCCACATAATCCTTTGTTACCTGCCAAAGAAGATATGGAATAACGTCGGGTAAGTGAAAAAAAAAACGGTAACATTCTAGGCAGTAGAATGCGAAACAGGGCTCACCTTCAAAAACCTTTGGATCCATAGCACTGAGACTCTCAGGGATAGGACCTGTCAATGCATTGTTTGCAACATTCAGCTTTTGAAGTTTCCCTGTGAATTCTGGTATCTCTCCTGTAAACTGGTTGCCATCAAGTCTGAGCACCAAGAGCTTTGTCAATTTAGCCAGAGATGTCGGAATCTGGCCGGAAAACTTATTGTCTGACAAATAGACCTTCTTCAACCACCCCATCCCTTCGAAGGCATTCTCTGGTATATCTCCTTCAAATTGATTATGTGACAGGTAAATTGCTTTCAGAGAAACCAGTTTCTTGAAATCTGGCAATGGACCTCCAAACTTGTTGTTCATGAAGCTTAGAGTCCTCAAAGATGGCAAGCCCGTCAAGGCTTCTGTATCGATAGAGCCTGAAAGTTGTAGATTCTCCATCTGCAACCCCCAAACCGAGTCCCTATCACACAAAACTCCGGCCCATTTGCACGGGGGATTCCTTTCGTCCCAGCTGGCTAAGGCATTCGCCTGCCCGATAACCAAAGACTTCTTAAAGTTTAAAAGGGCATTGGTTTCTGACAAGGCGTGAGAAGCAGCAGCAGAGAGAGATAGGAAGAGCAGAAGGAGGAGCGGTGAAGGCTCCATGGCTCTCCCTCTCGAGGAGGAGGAGGAGGTAGCGGAAAGCAAAGGGAAGAAGAGGAGATTCTTCGACGGGGAAAGGGGAAGAATGATGCGAGGCTACAGCTTTGAGTTTGGAAAAGCATTGCAAAGAGAGGAGGGAAAAGAGAGGAGAAACGGATTGTGAGGAGAGCTCTCTGATTCAAAAACATTCCTAAGAATAGATTTTGTCAAAAGATTGAAAGATTTGCTGTCTAAACAAAAAGGAAAGGAGAGAAAAAAAAACCTTTTTTTTTTGTTCCAAACTTTGACAAAGTCTTTTTGCTTTGAAAACTCAGACATCTCCGCATTGCCTTGAGCTTTTTCGGACCCTCCGTCTCCTTTGCTCTCTCTCTCAAAGTTCTTACCTTTCATTTTGATGCCCTTTCATTACAGCATGGATGATTATCAAGTTCCTCCATGTCATTTTTTCTCTCCTGTTTGCTGACGTGGCATATATATTCATCCGTTTAGAATCTTCTATATTCTTTATTTGTTATGTATGCCAACTCCTTAGTTATACCTAAACGGACACAATTCGTGGACTTCTTTTCTCTATCTTGTTTGGTAAATGTAATCCATGATGTGTTCGATATTAGATTAGATTCGGTTTATATCAAAATTAAATTAGTTTGGATTGACAAAAATTAAATCGAATTGACATGAAATTAGATCATATTTTATTTCGAGTTTAATTAGAAATGGTTTGGATAACAAATTTCATTTAATTCGAATTTATTTCAAGTTTGGTTCGGTTAAGATCTGGGTTACTTTGGTTAAGAAAGTTAAATGTAAATACGTCAATTAAATTGTTCCTCTTGAACCAAATTCAAAAAACAATAACACCGGCCCGTTTAGTATAATATTTTAGATGACATTAGTAATATTTTTTTACAAAATTAGTTTTTATTTGATATAAATAATTTTAAAAAATTATAAAATACAATGTTGAAGATAAAAATCTGATCCGAAACCGTCAATCACTTTTTTTTTAAAAAAAAGAGTGGATTAATGTGATAAATTGTATAATGGACATGTAAATTAATTAGATAAAGGATACCTTGTGCTCTTTTGCATGTAAACTAAAAATAAAAGGTATGATACTTTTATTCAAAATAACTAAAAGTATAGTTTTTTTATTCAAAATCGATGATTTTTTTTATAAAAAAAACGAAATAGAAGGATTTTTTAGTAAATGAAATAGTTTTAAAAAAATTGTTTTCTCCCTTAAAAATATTACAAAGATTTTGTATGTGTATTGTGAAACCCCAGCAAATAAGTGAATGCCGACACGACAGACAAATCAGGAGTGCGATGGCTTAAAAAAAGGTTCCAGACGCAGAAGATCACGACAACATGACACAAACCAACTATGACCGTACGACTCTAAAGAAAGACAGGTACAAGTCAAAGACAAAGCTCTTCTGTTGTGTAATATTTCCTAATATTAGCATATTACAACGTTCGTTCAAACCCAACGAGGCGTTTATATATAGACACAACACACATCTAACTGCATTTGACAAAAGTCAGATATTAAAAAAAATAACCAGACAGAGAACAAACAAGAGAAAGAAGAGAGGTCGAGGGGAAAAAGCATCAGCTGGGAGAGACGATGAAGAGAGATATGGTGAGGAAGAACACTGACCGAAGGGAAGAGAGCATCTTGGTAGCGATTGATAGAGACAAAGGAAGCCAAAACGCGTTGAGATGGGCGATCGATAACCTTGTAACCCAAGGCCAGACTATTATTCTTGTTCATGTCAGATCAAAACAAGCTCCTGCTATGTTCTCTGGTACGAACCAAAAAAACCCGAAAAATTCTGTGCCAGAATCAGAAGCAACTGTTTCGCATCAAATGTCCGGATTATCAAATGGGTTGTGCTGATTTGTTCCAGGAGATGTAACAAAAAATGAAAGCAGTAGAAATTTTCTTTTATCCAGAAGAGACACCAGGAGAATCTGTGTACCTTTATGATGTATTCTGATGTACACTGTTCTGTATTTTTGCAGGATCCACACCCAGCGGTAAGCATGGAGATGACATGAAGGAATTGTTTCTCCCATTCCGTTGCTTTTGTGCCCGGAAAGGAGTCAGTTTTCACTTCACCTTGTTTCTTCCCATCATATATGCTGCTCTTTGTTTCCACAGCATGATTTGAGGGTCCTTTTTCCTGTATCAGATAAACTGCGAAGATGTGGTTTTGGATGACACAGATGTAGCTAAAGGTTTAGTCAAATACGTGACTGAGAATGCAATTGAAACTCTAGTAGTCGGAGCAGCTAAGACCAATCTATTGAGGTAAGCAACTCTTCAAAAGCTAGCTAGTTTTCTAGATTGAACAATAAGAAGTAATAAGTTTCTTTTTCCTGCAACTACCTCTCAAGGATCATCGATCGCGCAAAGCAAAAGGTGGTTTAGAAAATTAAAATTTAAAAATTCAAAAAAAGGAAGAAGTATCCATAACCCGAGCTAATGTTTTCGTTTGACAGAAGGTTTAAAGCATCAGATGTCTCGAGCTCAGTCATGAAAGGGGCACCGAATTTCTGTACTGTATATGCAATTTCCAGAGGGAAAATCTCGTCGGCGAGAACAGCTACGTGTTCACCTCCGAGAACACCTGTACAACAACAATTACAGGCTCAGCCTAGCAACAGGGTCAATATAAGCTACCCCAAGCCTTCCAGTAATCCTAGAGGTTTGCTTCTTCTGTTATGACATTATCATTATTTGCAATTACCTTTGCTAGTAAAAGAAAATCTAAAAGGAAAACAAAAAGTATAGGCTATCTGATCATGAGTTGTTTTGACATGGCAGCTGAAAGGATACAACACTCAACACAAAGAATGCAGGACGAGTTGGAGATCAGGTGTGTTACCAATAACTTACTCATTTCTACCCATAAATTTTCTTTCATTTTTATGCTTGTCTGCTTCATAATCTATGATCCGATTGATAAATCGAAAACTTGAAGCTAATATATAACCACATTAAGAGTGCTGAAAGAGTTTCTAAGTGGGCCAATGAGTATATATCAACCTTACCATTCATTTGAGTGAGTGTCTCTAAGTGTTTCTTAGCGGGTCAATGTCTAACACCATTCTACTTTTAACTATCACCATGTGCTACCTTAGTATCTAGTATCTAACGAACCAAGACATTCGTATAAAGTTATAAGAACACGCTTATTGATGGGCTAACCTTGCAATGTGTGACTCCAACAGGTCAATTTTCAGCAGAAAGGGATTTGAAGGCACATACCAGCCCCCGGTAACAGATTCTGACATATCATTTGTGAGCAGTGGAAGGACAAGCATGGATCAGATGTCTCATCCCTTCTCTGACAATCTGGAAGCTGGAACAACTCCCACCCGGCTCTCAACCTGCAGCTCTGAGTTTGATGACAACATATGGTGCAGAACCGGATTAACTCCCACCCGGCTCTGCATGAGCCCTGAGTTCGAAGACAACAGATGGGGCAGAACTGGATTGACTCCAAATCGTCTCTCAACCAGTTCAGAGTTTGAAGACAGCAGATGGAGCAAGCCACCTGTTTTCACTCCGACCCGGCTCTCAACCAGCTCTGACCTTGAAGACAACAGATGGAACAAAGCCGGAAATACTCCCCCCCGGCTCTCAACCTGCTCTGAGTTCGAAGACAACAGGAGCAGTTTTGCTGCATCATACACGTCAGAAAAACAGTCTATAGATCTTGGTTCATCATATCCAGATTTCTCTTCAAGCTCACTGGAAAGTGGTGGAATCTCATGGTCAATCCAGAGCCCGGTAAGGACGTACCAGAGCTCAGAGCATTAAACATAGTTTGTAATTACCTGCAATAAGGAAGGTATCTTAATTAATTTAAAATCTGACAGGAGGAGGTTGAAGCTGAGATGAGAAGGCTGAAACTGGAGCTCAAACAGACAATGGACATGTACAGCAGTGCCTGCAAGGAAGCAATCACAGCAAAGAAGAAGGTACTCTTTTGCCAAGATGTACTTCCACAAGTCTAAATACCCATTTCATTGTGCAGGAAGAACCAAAAAAAAAAGAAAGTAAAAGAGGTTCAAAACCAACCCAAGTATGGTAGAACTGTCGGTCAATCTGTATCCAGCATAAAATCTGATTTGTCACTTTTCAGGCTACAGAGTTACACCAGTGGAAAGAAGAGAAAGCACGCAAACTAGAAGAGGCAAGACTTGCCAAAGAAGCAGCAGTAGCATTGGCAGAGAGCGAGAGGTCAAAGTGCAGAGCAGCCACAGAAGCAGCTGCGACAGCTCAGAGAATAGCAGAACTTGAAGCTCAGAAGAGAAAGCAAGCAGAAGCAGCAGCCCTTAGAGAAATGGAGGAGAAGAAAAGGGTTTTGAGCACTCTAAATCAAGGTGATGTAAGGTTTAGGAAATACACAATCCAGGAGATTGAACAAGCCACAGGAAACTTCTCTGATTCCCGCAAGATTGGAGAAGGAGGCTATGGACCAGTTTACAAAGGCAATCTAGATCATACACCAGTTGCAATAAAAGTTCTACGCCCAGATGCAGCACAAGGAAGATCACAGTTCCAGCAAGAAGTAGAAGTACTGACCTGCATGAGACATCCGAACATGGTTCTTCTGATTGGAGCCTGCCCAGAATATGGCTGTCTAGTCTATGAATACATGGCCAATGGTAGCTTAGACGACCGTCTTTCCCGACGAGGCAACACTCCTGTTCTTCCTTGGCGGCTAAGATTCCGGATAGCAGCTGAAATTGCCACCTGTCTTCTTTTCCTTCACCAGACAAAACCAGAGCCACTGGTGCACCGTGACCTGAAACCAGGCAACATTTTACTTGACCAGAACTTTGTTAGCAAGATTTCTGATGTCGGGTTGGCAAGGCTTGTCCCTCCATCGGTAGCAGAGACCATGACACAGTACAGAATGACAGCAACTGCTGGAACATTCTTCTACATCGATCCAGAATATCAGCAAACCGGTATGCTGGGAACTAAATCAGACGTATACTCACTCGGGATCTTGCTTTTGCAAATGATTACAGCCAAACCCCCCATGGGTTTGACTCATTATGTTGGGAGAGCAATCGAGAAGGGGACTTTTGCTGAGATGCTAGACCCTAATGTTCCTGACTGGCCGCTTGAGGAAGCCTTGGCATTTGCAAAACTGGCTCTGCAGTGTTCGGAATTACGGCGTAAAGACAGACCCGACCTAGGGAAAGTCGTCTTGCCTGAGCTTAACAGACTCAGAGCTCTAGCCGAAGAGACCATGCCTCTCGCCTTCGGAGGACATGAGCGGCCTTCATCCACAGCTTCCATTCAAGTATAAATCAGCGAAGCACCTTCTCAGTTCAGAATTCACATACTGTGGATGCCGAAACATCTCACAATTCCTAAACTACATCCATGATTTCAGGAGCTGCAATATGGATATGAGAGCGGAAAGAGCCGTACCACCATACCATCCAATGGAGGAAGACATCCAAAGTAGATGATGAACAAGTCACCGGAAGAAGGCGAAGCGAGGAAGATGAGAAGGCTGGTTGCTACTACTCAGAATGCTTCTCCAATGTAAAGGGGGAAGCCCTTTTGTTCTATATGACGGCATCAAGTAAAAAATCTCGCGGAATCATCTCTCCGGTCACCGGAAGTCAATTCTTCTCGATATCGTACACGCCGTCGAAATTCATGTCTTCATCTTCTTCCACGATTCCGAGCTGATTTTTCAGCATTCGATTCGAGTTTTGGTTCCTTTCTCGGATTCGTATTTTATACCTTTAATTTTGAAAATGTTTATTTGTAGATGAAATCTTTTGTTATTTATATTATATATATATATATATGACACTCTGGAAGCTGGCACAACTCCCACTTTCTTTATCTACTAGTAATTATTAAGAAATTGTCCATAAATTTTTTTGACAAATAAAAATTGTAATAATATAACATAAAAAAAGGCATTTAATTTCTATTTTGGCACTCACACAACTAACTCGTCATCGTCATCAACATCATCATCATCATCATAATCGCCTTTTGAAGAATTTTGTGCAGCGAATTGTAGCCATTCAAATGCGAGAGCGAATTTTGGCTTTTTACAGCACACACACACATATGGATCGCTTCACCACTTTCCTTCGATCAAAATACCGACGAACTAAAATCGCCCAAAACGAATATAGGGGAACATTGGTACGCAGATTTTGAATTGGGGAATTAGGGTTTTGAAATATCAATGAATTAAAATTATATGTTTATTCAGTTATCATATTATTTTTTACTGGTTTTAACTTGAGATTTTTAAGATATATATATATATATATATATATATATATATATTTAATTTTCCGTTCGAATTCATTGTATTCATGTTAATCGAGTGTTATTTGATTCAAATAGTTTCGGTTTCACATAAATGAACAGAAAATACTGCAAGAACTTAACATAGAAGAAATGCAGTCGGTTTAATTCTATTTCCGGTTCGGTTTAATTCTATTTCCGGTTCGGAAAATTCTAAAGAAATAAAACCGGTGTACGGCTTGTGGGGTGTGGCTGTTTGATGAAAGTGCTGCTAATTAGCCAGTAACGACTTTCGGATTTAAGTTTCCACTGAGAGAATGAAACAAATAAAAAACAGCTATTTTTTTCACGTAATAATAAATTGTGTTTGATTACAACTAACATAATCCTCTACATGGAAATGGAAAGAATACAACAAAAAGAAATTGCAACTCTACACGGACATGACATAATAAGATCATCACCACATATATATATATACACACACATACATATATATATATCGTTGTTTCATTCCAGACAAGATACATAACTACACAACTTTATACACTTTACTTTGGGTTCAACACCCAGAGTATGGAGATTCCCCTCCTGCCACCTTCGGGTGTTTCACATCCCACGTGTATGTTGCAGGGTCGTGCGCATAGATTGGGATTAGTCTAGGCCTTTGGACTTGGGATCAACCGATTATAAAAAAAAAAAAAAAAACTTTATACACTTTACCCTTCATTATACAATATCATCAAACGGAGGGGGAATCACCCATTTCTACGTTCCTATACCAGAAGTTTGACATACCATATGATGATGATGATGTTTGTTGCTTCTCCGAGCTGGTTTAACCATATTCCATGAAAACAAGAAAGAAAAGATTAGTAAAAGGATCAAGCTCCATTGTCGGAAGTAACACAGCTTCCAAAATCAAAATCACAGTAAAGTTCTTCTTGTGGTGAAAGGATTCTGATGCATCGTACGCAGTTTACAAACTCCCTGCAAATACCCGCATTATATATTAGAATTATAACTTCAAATTCATCGATGAAAAGAAGAAATAGAGTGCGGAAACTGATCATCGAAAGTGGAGAAATGAGAGGACTTACTCCCATGGATCATCTCCGACCAGGAGGGCATCATTCTCATGATCCACGTAAACCAGCTTCCAACCTATTCCTCCCCGATTTTCCAACTGACCCTCTATCCCGAATCTACGACCAAGATCTTGTTTGAGTTCATCGTAACCCGAATAACTCGTGATATCAATCGATCTCCCTACAGCTCCACGTTTGTACACCTTCGCATAAAGGACACAACAGTGTCAAAAACCCTTTTTTATCGCCAAAACAAAGACAGGGATGCCCAAATTTTCAACAATAACTGTGTAAATACTACTTAGCAAGCTTGATCGTACAGTTCAGATCCTGGCAATCCAATCAATTCCTCACGGATTGGATCTATTTAACCATATCGACATAGATTTTCTAATAATCTATGTTTGAATCATTTTTTCATGTTTCTCTTTCCATAGAAGCTTTCTAATCCATCTTCATCCCATGTAAAACCCTTAATTTTCGAAAATAATTTACATTTCATCAAAAAGAAAAAGGAGAATAGTTTGATGCTTTAGAAACATACCTTAGTATAAGTCCGCTTTCTCTGAAACTGTGGCTGTGATGGCCATGGACCACGGTTTGCAAAACCACCATCATTGTTGGAATCAATCGAATTGAACGTCATATCTGGAACACTGAATGATTGAGATACCAATGAGGATGAAAGATCTTCCTGCT